GAGAGGGCTGGGCATCATGGTATGCACATGGAACCATCTTTCATCACACCCTTTCTCCTATTTTCCACACTTGAAAATGGTAGATTACAAGAGAAACAATCACCCACAGTAAAGGTGTCCATCATCCTCAAACTCTGGAACTCCTACCATTGCCTAGGCCAAGTGACTCTTCATCTCACTTTTTGAATGTTGAGACTGAGAGTAAAAATCAACAACTCCAGACAAATTGGACTTCTTCCTACTTGAACAAAACGCTTCTTCTCCGCCTCTCAATATCAACATGATTTCATCGATGCTTGGTCTTCGCAATTCTTCGTTGCTTATGCAGGCTGCTGCAGCCTGTATGGTTCGTGCTATTTGACTCGAATTTTTCAACGTACGTTTAAGTCTCGGGTCCAGTAAGTCTTCAACAGCTTCCATTCCTCTCTGCAACAGAGGTTTTGCCTGGAAATGGGAAGAAACTTCAACATTACAGCTGAAAAACGCAGACTATTACTCGTGTTGCAATGAACGAACATATCAGCTGAAAACGTAAATGAATTCGAATAAAGATAGAGATGAGAAACAAAATAAATAGATCAAAAGAAGTTCCATGATAGAGATGTTTCACCTTAAGTGCTTGTTCAAAACTTATAAAATGTAATGGTTAAAGTTAAAAGAGCAGGTAGTGTTTTGGCTCTAGGGACTGTTAAGGGGAACCATTCTTTCAACTTTCACAAACTTGGTGTAAGATCTAAATTAGTATAATAACCTACCCATAGGACCAGGTTCTCTACTCCCGGAGGCCGTCTTGCCTCGATTGGTTTCTTTCCGGTTATTAGCTCCAGCAAGGCAACCCCGAAAGCATAAACATCAGTTTTATCAGATACTTTTCCATGCTGGAAATACTCGGGCGCCAAATACCTACATACCATGAAGCAAAATAAAACAAAAGGAACAAAGGATCTTTTAGCTTCTCTACCGAATGTTCCTTTAACAGTTTTGCAGAGGAATGGAATCGAAGGAGCGGATGTCCAAGTTGCTAATCCGAAATTACACAACTGCAACCATTACAATTACAGATATCATATAATCGATTGCAAAATGACGAGACTGGCTTCCATCCTTTTTCTACTTAAGAAGTAGAGACCAAGATTCCTTACCTTGGGTGTTCTCTTGGCAGAAAGAAGAATGTTAGAGGGCTTGATGTCTCTATGAACAACTCATCTTTCAGTTCCATTGTGTAGATATGCAATTGCCTCTGCGATCCCTACGGCGACCTTATACGGAACGGACCATGGAAGTGTTGAGGGATGTCCTTTTACACCATTCTTCTTATCTACAAAACAGCATCTCCTAAATCGTTCAAAATTCATCACAAATCCATGTAAAATTCCCATGAGAAAACAAAGTGAAAACTTTACCACGAAGACGGAGTTCTAAACTTCCACCAGAGACAAACTTATACACCAAAAACAAGCCTTCCTCAGGATCAATGAAGAACCCCAAAAGAGGGACAATTAGGGTGATGCAAAGAGCTAGCAATCATCGGTTCTCTGCAAAAGGTCTTGGCAGATTCCTTGTCTTCTTTATCCAACCTCTTAATAGCCACACTAGTCTTCAATACTCCAACTCTTCCTCTGAAAACAAAGCTCAATGCTCCTCTCCCCAAAACTCTCTCTACCGCCATTTTTCCAATACAATCGAATCAAAAAGGAAACAATTAAAGAAGAACACAAGAAAGAAACCAAATCCATGAAGTTCATACCTTTGGAAAAATTTCTGGTAGCTGAAACAATTTCACCATAGTTGAATCTAACCAAAGAGTTACTCACTGGTGAAATACTTCTTTCTAAAGACTCAATCCTCCTCCATTTCGATTCTTTGGCTCTATCATCACTAACCCCATTATCCAAATTCAGCATCAAAACAGTGGCTGAGCTCAAAGGATTTGCAGTCACGGCATCTAGTTCAACTTGAGAACAAATACTAAACCTGAAAGATGAGTGAACTGATTGTAGATCAGTACTAGTCAACTCAGCTCCTCCACCAGACTCAGCCAATAACCAAGCCTTGTTGTGCTCCAAATTGTTTCCATTCTTTGTAGTCCTAGAGTTTGTGCAAGTTTCTTCGTAAAAGCCCATTGCTTTGAAACAGATCTCAATGAAGAAAAAGAAGAGGACATGCCCCACAGACACCAAAAACAAGAAAGAGAGAGAGTTAAAAATAGGGTAAACTACACGGGAGACCGCTAAATTATGGTTATTAATCGATCTTGTCATCGAATTATTTTTTATCTCAATTCGATCACCAAACTTTTTAATTTAATCAATCAGACCACTCTCTGTTAAAAAAACGGACTTGCTGCCGTGTCTGTTAATAAAAATAGCATAATTCTATATTTGTTCTTTAATATTTACATATTCTATCAATTTAATCATTATTTTAATTCAATTAAATAAATTTAACTATCCAATTAGAACATGACACGTGTCAGCACCCCGATTGAAATGAAAAATTGAAGAACCAATTTGCGCCCCAAAGGATTCAAACATGTGCCTTTGGAGAAGAATAGTCAGATGCCCAAACCGCTGGACCAAAGCTCACCAATGGTTCTAACTTACAACAATTTGTATTTGACTTGTAACACTTTGTTAATTACTAAAAAACTTAAACAAATTATTTTCTTAAATAAATTATTTTTTCTTTAACCGTTAATCGAACTGAAATTTATTTGAAAATTATTAACCGAACCAAATTAACCGAATTTTTTTCTTTAAAATTAATCGAACCGAAATTTTAATGACTATTAATCGAACCAAAATTATTTAACCGTTAATCGAACCCAAATTTATTTGAAAATTATTAATCGAATTAATCGAATAAAATAAATTATTTTTCTTTAACCGTTAATCGAACTGAAATTTATTTGAAAATTATTAACCGAACCAAATCAGCCAATTTTTTTCTTTAACCATTAATCAAACCGAAATTATTTGACCGTTAATCAAATCGAAATTTATTTGAAAAATTATTAACCGAATAAAATAAATTTGGGTTCGATTAACGGTAAAATAATTTTGATTCGATTAATGGTTAAAGAAAAAAATTCGGTTAATAATTTTCAAATAAATTTCGGTTCGATTAACTGTCAAATAATTTCAGTTCGATTAATGGTTAAAGAAAAACATTCGGTTAATAATTTTCAAATAAATTTCGGTTCGATTAACAGTCAAATAATTTCGGTTCGATTAATGTTAAAGAAAAAAAAATCGATTAATTTGGTTCGGTTAATAATTTTCAAATAAATTTTAGTTCGATTAACGGTCAAATAATTTCAGTTTGATTAATGGTTACAGAAAAAATTCGGTTAATAATTTTCAAATAAAATAATTTTTCCTTAATTGAACAGAAATTTATTTGAAAATTATTAACCGAATTCTCTTCTGTAACCATTAATAAAACTGAAATTTATTTAATCAAATAATTTTTTTAACCATACAAGTTAAATACAAATTGTTGTATGTTAGAACCATTGGGAGCTTTGGCCCAACGGTTTGGGCATTTGGCTACTCTCCCCCCAAAGATGCTTGTTTGAATCCCTAGGGGCGTAAATTGGTTCTTTAATTTTCCATTTCAATCGAGTGGTGACACGTGTCACCACTTGATTGGTTAAAAAAATCTTTTAATTAAATAATTTAAAATTTATAAATAAAACCTTCCAATCATGTATTGACACATGTCATGTTCTAATTGGATAGTTAAATTTATTTATTTGAATTGAAATAGTGACTAAATTGATAGAATATGTAAATATTAAGGACCAAATATAGAATTATGCTATTTTTATTAACGGACACGTCATCAAGTTCATTTTTTTAACGGAGAGTGGTCTGATTGATTCAATTAAAAAGTTTGGTGTTCGAATTGAGATAAAAAATAATTCGGTGGCAAGATCGATTAATGACCATAGTTTGATGGTCTCCGGTGTAGTTTACCCTTAAAAATAAAGGTCGAGAATAAAAAAGAAAGTGAGAGCTGCTTTGTTTGAAGAATGGAGGAGAATTTTCTCAGGAAAAAAAAGGGAGAGAGAGAAAAAGGGTACAGGGCAATGTAATGCAAACATAAACTGTGCACAAGGAATCAAAGATTATAACTTTTCCAGGCAAAAAAAAAAAAAACTGGAAAATCTGAGACTAAAATTAATGCTAAATAGGTGGGAGAAGGTGAAGACCAGACAAATAAGAAATTTTGATTCATCTTTTTCTTACCATTTTCTTCTTATTCAATATAAAAATCAATCCAACATCTTTTCTTTTTTCTTTTAGACATCTATATTCTTTTCTCTTTATGTTAGATTGCAATCTCTTTTGCAAAAGTTGAAACAAATGAAGTTAAAAGTACTTTTCATGATTTCTTAGTTAAAGGAAAACAAGTAGTTTATTATACACAAGCATCAACTAAATATTTTGTCACTTAATTATTCTCGTGTTTCATTTTAATTATCCAATTAATTTTAAAATTTATGCTTAAATTTATGTTTTTGTTTGGTTTTAGTCACTCTCGTTAAAAAATAAATAGAACTAATGACGTATTTTTTTTTTATTTTTTTCAATGATAATATGACATTATCTTATGATGACACTTCAATATTATCGTTAACTTTTTAACGACGGGTAACTAAAATAGAATACAAACATAAATTTAAGTATGATTTTAAGAAATAATTGAATGATCAAAATAAAATCACAAAAATAATTGAATGACTAAATACTTAGTTTATTATAAATCTTAACGGAATGATGAAGGCTTTTTAATTAATTTTAGGTTCTACGCTCCCACCATTACTATATATGTAAGTTTAGTTTTACGATGTATTGAATTTTCTCTATCTACATGATTTACTGAGTAACCTCAATGGTTAAAAGGAATGTTGTAAGTTTAAATAGTTATGTCTGCAAAATAGTATGTGTTGTTAATAATTAAAAAAATTATATAAATAAATGCTATTTTATAAGCACGTTAGACTATTCAGAAATAATAAAAATATGTTTGTAAGACCTCTTCTAAAAATGAATTAAGTTACTATATATAATATTTTTTTATTAAATATAGTAACTAAACAACTAATGTTATGAGTATCAATGCATTGGAATTTTTTTCTTAATAAAATATATTTAGAAAACTACAATTAAAACATTTTGTTCAAAGAAAGGTTGGATATAATTGTTGTCATAATTATAAAAGAAATATTTGAAATTGGGTGCAGCCAGAGAAGCATGTCAGTGATTAATTATGTGCAAATCAACATGTCCTACAGCATATTAAAGTATAAAAAATGCATTTAATATTTATTCAATCAGATATTCAGATTTTTTAATGGAACTTTAATGATTGCATAGGATCTTTTTGATAAAAAAAAATAGATCAAAGAAAGATATATGAGTTTACTGCATGCACTTAAACTTTCTAATAAATTATATAGAACTTATAAACAATTAATTAAAAATAATTTGATGTTACACATATTAATTTATCTCAGTTATTAAAGGAATTGTTATTATTTCTAGAAGTTATGAGTTCGAGCACAAGTTATTGTGTAATCACCGTTGTTTGTGCTATATTTATTATTATTATTATTATTATTTTACATTTTATAAACCAAACCCAACAACCCAATACATAACCTGGGCCCAAATTACATCACCAATAGGCCCAAGCAACGACCCTAAATAATTAGGGTTTTTAAACCCTAGTTTTCTCACAATCACGACAACCTTCATTGTTTTTGGTCGCCACCGCCGCCTATTCAAGCTCTGACCACCGTGTTGGTCATAGTCAAAAGACCAATCCTACCACTGTTTCTTAACAGTAAAAGGAGGAAATTAAGCTAACCAAAATCAAGAAAATGGGGCATTTAATAGAAGCAATCATGACTTCACCTACCTCATCTACCCTCTGCCATGACCTGCAGAACCCATACAGTTGCCTCACCAAACACTCATCTCAAGCACTCCACCATCATTTAAATACAAGCATGCAACAACAAGATAGAGGGAGAAGGGGGAAGATTTTCGAGGAAAAAATTTTGTAAAAAGGAAAAGGGAGAATTTGAAAATAAAATTTTGTGAAGGAGGAGACCCTCCATTCGAAAGCAATAAAAAGATAAAAATATTATATATATATATATATATATATATATATATATATATATATATAATTGTTTTATTTTTTTAAACCTTACAAACTAAAAAAAAGAAGACTTACCTTCGATCGGTGTTGGGGAACCTCTTTCCAAGATTCCAATGGCCAAGAGGGGGAAGAGAGGCTAACGAGCAAAATATCTTGAAATTGGCCCGATCCAACAGTGGACAGCGGAGATCGGGCCGGTGGAAACCGAAGATTTATGGCCATTTTGCGGAATTGACAGCTGGATCTCGTGAAACAGAGCCCTGATCCGAGCTTGCGACGCCAAGACGAGCCAATATATGAGTTTTGGGCCCGAACGACCATCGGTGACGACGCGAGACTCCCGTCGGATTCTGGGAAAGTTTAGAGATAAGAGAGAACTTCTCTCTCTAAAAAAAGAAAAAAGAAAAGAAAATGAGAGACAAATAAAATAAAAACAAAAAATGGGTTTATATAATCCAAACCGAAAGATGTCATTTTGGGGCTCCCATTTGTGCGTTTTGGACCCATACTATTTAACCCTCTCCGCATTCCTAGCTATTTCCTCCTGTGTTCAATTTGGTCCCCAATTTCAACATATTTCATTTATTTTCTTAAATTTAGTGTCTTTGCTTTGCTATTTTCCATTTTTGCGTTTTAATACTAATTTTTGGTTTATTTGTTTTCAGGTCCCCTTATCTTTGTCGCGTTTTAGCATTTTAGTCCACGTCTATTTACAACATTGCATATTTAATTTTGTGTTTATTTCAATTTAGTCACTTGTTCAGTTTCTTTAATTAATCATTAATTAGCCCCTGAACATTTTGTAAATTTGTAATTTAATCCTTAATTGTAATTGTTTTATTATAATTTAATCCCTAAATTATTCTTTTCAGTTTTAACCCTATAGGATTAAAGTCCTGACATATTAGTCATTACACTTTATTTTTTACACTTTAGTCATTGAATCTTTTTATTATCTTGATTTTGACATGCTGATTTTTATTACTTTTTTTAGTCACTTGTTTGCTATGTTATTCCTTTGAAATTAGTCACTGATTTTTGTTTTGTTTCATTTTATCCACTGATTGATTTTGTCTCTTTATTTTATTTTTGAATCTGATGACATAGTTTCAATTTATGCATTTTGGTCACTGTTTACTTCTGATTTGATACTATTTTTTATTTTGTTACATTTTAGTCCTTTACTTAACGTTTTAATTTTAATTTTGCATTTTTGATTCACTTATATTTAGTCATTTTGTAATCAATAATTACCTTTAATTTTGCCTTCAATTTTAAATTCCTTTTAATTTAGTCCTTTTTATATCATTTTCTTTTTAAATTAACCCCTAACTTCTAATTTTATATTCGATTATTTAGTTACTTTTATTTTAACTTTGCCCTTTTGATATTCTGTTATTTTAATTTTCGCTTAAAATTATTAATTGTTTACGTTTTAGTCATTTTAATTCCATCTTTTAATTTTTTGCACTGTTTCGATTTAATCTTTATATTCTGATTTCTCACATCTTGGTCCTTTTACTTTATGTTTTAATTTCAAAGTTGTATTTTTAATATATTGCAATTTAGTCCTTTTATTTGGTAGTTGCTTTTAATTTTGCCTTTAATTTTAAATGTCTTTACATTTAGTCCCACTTTTAGATTTTAATTATTAAACCTTCTGATTTAGATTTAGAATATTTTAGTACTAATCTAGATTACTTAGATTTTAGGTCTTGTCCTTAAATTTATACTCCTTTAAATTTGATCCCTAAACTTTTAATCTAGGAGAATTTTTTATTTGGTCCTCGCTTATGCTCGAGATTCTGAATTAATTATTCGATACTCCATAATTAATTAAAATTAATTAGAGTTGATATTAAATCCTCCATCTTTGGCCTAATTTAATCTTTAGTCATTAAATTAAGAGATTTCTTAATTTGGTCATCGCTTTTGCTCGAGGTTCCACTTTAATTATTTGAATTACAATATTGATTAAAATTAATTTAAGTTAATATTAGAGCCTCCACTTTAGATTATATTTTAATTTAGTCCTTTTAATTTAGGGAGTAATATGAGTTGGCCCTCGCCTAAATGCTCAAGGGACCATATCGATTATTCGATTCAATAATTGGATAAAATCAAGTAGAATTAATATTAGAGCCTATATTTTTAGTTTTATGCCTCTAGGCTCTTTTAATTATTCATAATTTGACACTTAAAGATAGAGAAAACTTTAATCAACCTTTAGTTTAATTAGGATTAATAATAAATTGTTTAATTGCATCATGTTTTAGAACCTAAGGCAATGTTCACTTATTAAGGAGTCAATAGTATACCTCTCGTAAGTATGCTCAGGGGTTGACTACTGGTGATTCCTGAAATACGTCAACATTCTTTTCAAGACTGCATCATGATTTTCTAAAATATCGAGGCAATACTTGGTTATTGGGCACAATAGCTGATCTCCCACATTCATGCTAGGGGGCAAATGCTATTGGCTTTAATAAACGAATACCCTTTTCAACTTTGCATCCATAATGATTTTGAAATTAGATGAAGTTCGAACTCAAAAATTTTAATTTTAAATATAGGGTAATTAACTATGTACCAAATTTTGGGCGTTGTAGGGGTGCTAATCCTTCCCCATGCGTAACTGACTCCCGAACCTATTTTTTGGTTTACATAGACCCTAAACTTGGTATTTTGATAAAAATAAATTGTTTTATCAAAATCACCTGATTTTTATGGTGTCTTGTCGCACCTTAAAATGATTGGTGGCGACTCCTCACATTTCAAAATCTTTTCAAAGAAAAACCCTTAAGTTGTACTAGTTTTTATCCCACCCCGACGAAAAAAGTTGTTGACAGCTTGGTGACTCCACTGGGGAAATTTTGTTTTTTAAAACAACTTGAGAGTCGAGCCACGAGTTGGCTACCCTATACTTAGGATTATGGAAATTATGAGTTCAATCTTATTTAATTTATAGTTCATTATGCTTTTTCAAGAAAAAAACAAAAAAAAGATTTTCTCTCTGGTTAATGCTTACACTTCTATAAATATTTAGGACTATTGAATATCATAGCTCTAAACCCGAGCTCAATCTCGATTTATTTAAGTAGGGGGAAACGTCACACCTCATGAGGAGCATTGGGCTTCCTTGTGTGGGTCTGACAAATTACCTCTGGAAAGCATCCTAAGTTTCCTATCCGTATATCAGTTTCGAGGCACGCTTTTAGCGGTGTTATCCCCTAAGCAGAATCTGATTCACAAGTTTGTAATGGGCCAAAATCGGAGTAAACCTTAGTAGGTTGTAAAGATGGCTTGGGAACCCTTTGATAGAACCCAGCCTCATCTAGAGAATTTAGTAGACCTACCCCGCTAGAGCCATGTGGATAACAGAGAAGAACTAGAATGCACGCGGTTATGACTCTTAATGTAACATCCATTTTCCGTATACGTCCCCGTACACGAGTCACTGTTGTCACATGACTTTTAAAACATTTTCGTACTTGAAATCCAGTAAAATTTTGTTTACTTAAATAAACGATTTAATAATATAGTTTATAAAACATTCTTCAAATACATATATATATATAAAATAAAGTTTAAAATCCATCAAACAATAGTTTAAGTTCGAATATAACATAAAACTACAACCAAGTACCAATCTTATCAGAGCATCACAACATATCTAAGTAAATTTCAACTAGTAATATCAAAATAAACATCTAGAGATGTCATATTGTTACTAATGAGGCAATCATTGACAGTTGATATCAACTGCACTCCTTACTCCTATTATACTCGATTACTTACACGTGAAACTATATGACACTAAGCATTCACTAGTATTATAAATGAGGCGTAACCAAAACATAAGTATGTCATAAAAGATCAAAATACGAATTTAATCAAATAAATCATAATAATACATAAAACTGACTTGGTAAACCAAGTTTCTTTCAAATAACCTGTGAAACAATATTCAGTATGCCTATCATACCTATCAATCAGTATTTTCCAAAATATCCATTTATTGCCAAATTTATGTCAAATGAGAATGCAAAATACATGAGTTGCACATAAACGTTAAACGAAAACATAAGTTCTGTAGTGACACAACACTATACTAATATAACGAAATGGTAATTCAAAAACTCATTATGAATACCATGGATGCACACATAGTGTCGAAAGTACACAAAGTACCGATATGAAAATGCAACATATGCATTAAACAAAATCGATCGATAACCATCATACACAAAGTATGTCGAAATGCACCTACGACTCTCAATGCATATACAATAGGCCTTTAAATCAAATTCGCAAATTAAACATTTATTATGAAACATTGATAGATGTTAAAATAATATAAAATTTCATCCATCTATTTTAGGGCAGTTCTTACCTTAAAATTATTCGCAAAATCATTTTCATAAACTTTATGAAAATATTTCAAAATACGGTAAATCATGCTTTTATAAAAATATTAGAGGTTGACTCGTCGCAAGTCGTCCTCATATCATATAAGTACATAATAAATGCACTCACCTGGTATGCCTCATTATTATGCCTTACTATAGAAATCCAATTATTCTTGAACTTTTTCCTTGCCTTTCGCTTTGCTCGTATCATGAGTTCGATCACGATCTACACAAGCATCCATACAAAGTATATACAATTATAAAATACAATGTTAGTATCCTTACTAACATTTTTACAAAATAATAATACTCAAAAGTACTATTATTTTCGAATTCTTTTAAAATTCATCTAAACTTTTCCTTTTTATTCATAATGGGCCCCTTTTATAAATTCTTCAATCCAAGCCCAATTAATCCCAATAAAATTTCAGCATTTAATTTCCAGCTCAATACCTCAACAATACCATAATGACCACTTAAGCCACTAATTTTCTCAATATTAACCATTTTGTACTTAAACTTTGCCAACTTTCCAAAATGACTTAATTTCACATTCTAAATTCAATTTTAGCCCTAAAACAGTAATTTCCAGTAATGTACATCAATTATTGAGTAAATACACAATCAAACCATAACTTTTCAAAATTGTTGAATAGGTCCCTTAAATTTTGAAAAATTACAAAATGATCCAAAAAAATTCCAAGCCTTTTAGAACCTTTCAAATATCATTTCTAATCTATGGGAATTTTTACACAATTTTCCCAACTTATTTCCTCATGGTCGAATGCTTTAGGGGTATATTTCTCATGATTTTTATTTGATTCAAGTATGAAACCAACTTCTATTCAACATTTCAAGACCTCTAGAATCAAACCCCTAACATAATTTCATCAAAATACATCTTTCCCCTAAAGCTAGGGTTTGGCCGAATTCAACATAGGCTTATATAGCCATGTAAAAGTGATTTTAATCAACAATCCTACTTGTATATGATTTTACAACCTCAAAAACATCAAAATCCTTCATTAATTTCATAAACCCTAAAGTGAACACAAACCCTAAAATTTGGGATCTTTCAACACAAACCAAATTAGCAAGTAATAATTCTACCAAATGATAGCGTTTTTTGAATATAACAATTTTCTATTTCACGACATGATCCAAAATCCAAAGGAAATTGCTCAAAAATTGTAAAGAAAAATTTTCTTACCTTAAGTCATGGGAAGCACGAAATGGATCTGAAAATGGCCTAAATTTTATGAAATTTTCATGTAATTTCATGTTAATTTAACCTTTATTTAAGCTTAAATGAATAAAATATTCATTTAATAAAAAATGTTCATTTTGCCATTAATGAAACTTGATAATTACCATCCAACCAAGCCAAATCAACTTTATCATCTTTCAAAAGTCAAAGATGAACAAATTATTTTACCCTTTTCCAATTTTAACAAGCAACTTTTAAAAAATTACAATCTTGCCACTTTGATCCAACGGTTCAAATAAATCATGGAAATAAATCTTCAAATCCAATGATCCATATTATTTTCCCTCATTTTAACATGTGTTAATAATATTTTTAAGTCTAATTTATAATCCTTAAATTTTTCCCAACATTTCTATTCGATCTGATTTACTGATTTCTTACCGAACTTTAATAACCATTTCAAGTTTTCAACATAAATTCTGGATCAAGAATCTAATTTCAATAAAAACAAACCGCACACTCAAGAGTAAACTATCAATTTATGGGATAAAATTATTTTTGGGAAAATTACCACTTATGTCCTTAAACTTTTCCCAATTTTGTACTTTGGCCATTAAACTTTCAAAACTTACATTTTGGTCACTAACCAAAATTTGGGGTATTACACTTAATTTCCTTTGTATGATTTATTTTTTAGTCTCAGCTTTGAGTCGAATTTAAGTATTTTTACTAAGCTTACATTTCTTTGAATACTCATTTTAACTAACTTTATTTTTTTGTCTTGTTTCTACTAACTTGATTTCCTTTTGTCTTGTCTTGTAATTTGTTGTATTTTTTCATGAACATGGAATATGCTTCAAAGGTATTGATCCCTAGAATAACTGATCTTTCAGAAGGTTCTTGAAAAATAATGCCCACAGTAATGCCTTTCATTTGGTTAGATAGAATTTTGAAGAGTATGTACGTAGATCGAGTAACATCAAGAGATAATCTACTTACTAAGGAAACAAGCCAAAAAAATATCTGTTGAGGTAACAAGTTGGACTCAAGAAGATTCGACACTGAAGCTAATAGTTGAAAGTCACGAACCATCTCAAAAATTTCTGAAAGTAGGAGACGAAGTATAAGCTTTGAAAATTTTCAATATGCCTAAATTTGACGAAAGACGACGCAATACTCAAACGCTTGCAGAAGTTGGACAACGTGAAGACTGGTCAGATTTTTACTTCCTCAGTGTACCGAGAAATTGGTGGTTTTTCAAGAATTGTTCAAGGAACAATTATTTTTGGGGATCAATTCCTTTGTTGCATTTACATTTTCATTTTGCATTCCCATTTGCATCTTTGCATTTGCATGTTGCATCTTTGTATTAGCATCTATACATTGTACATTGCATGATATACATTGCATCTCAACGTGCATTAATCACGGGTCCTGAGAGTGACTCGCAGAGAATCTTGCGATAGAAGTTTTTGAGGTAAAATGAAGTCACCCCATTCGTACATAAAAACACATTGAGAGCTAAGGACGTGATGTTAGCGTCGTCTGAAGTTCAAGACACATTTGATATGAGTTAAAAAAAGTTCTTCTATCCACCGTGAAACCTTATTGCACTGGCATTGTCCTGTCTGAATGTGTTTTTGTTCTTTCTTTTGATGCTTAAACTTACGTCGTTTTCCAAGGTTATGAGCAATAAATCAAATTTTAATCTTGTAATTTTTTTAATATTAAATGAATTAAAGGTTTATTTACTGCATCATTAATTATATACTTTTGGCAAGTGGCAAGATTAGACCTTCCATACCCTATCCAAAGCTGAAAGAACCATTATTTGGTTCTTTACCTGAAATAAGATATGTTTTAACATCACTTACCACTGAAACAATAAATTCATGCCCTTATCCTCCCCGAGGCACCAAAATCCATATTTTTACCTTCCCAGAGAGAGCTGATCCCTCCTTAATGCTACCTTTTCCAAGATATATGGCTTCAGATTCACTCATTTCCCTTTCTAGAAAACCGACATTCATTGCTAACCTTAATAAATCTTGGAGGCATAAAGTACAATATGGTTGTGTGTACGAGAACCATTCATGCAAGAAAGACAAGTTGGAGTGTTACGAATCAAGTTTTTGCAAGAGAATTCGAATAATTAGGGCATACTAGGAGCAAAGTGAAGTAGAAACAATGGAAATAATTGAAATAATTATGTCATGCATTAATTACATTGTTTTCATGTAAATAAGGTTAATGTCGAATACTCGTTCCCCTGTAGATACCTCTTTTACAAGGACTTTTGTGTATGAGATGATGAACGACTTTGTTTTATTAATCCTTTCAAAAAAGAAAAAGAAAAAGAAAAATATATCCCTTATTGTCCCCATTTGATCCTAAATTATTTTCATCTTATTCAACCTAACCAAGGATCACCCTCCACACCGAAAGGGAAGGTGAAGGAAATCTGCATACAGAGGCAAGTCAAGGTGAAATAAAGTAAGAAATGACAAGATACCGCAAGGTGGACCAAATACAAAGAGCTCGAAGATCAAATCAAGTTGACAGCACAGAGAGAAAAAGAGAAAATATAGCGAAAAGAATAAAAAACATAAAAAAGGGAAAGAAAATAAAGCAAAAAAAAAAAGAGGAAAAAATACTTCAAGACAATTGACTCAATACTCCTCAAACCACAAGGTTGATCAAGTACGACTAGTTCGAAGATCCAGATTCAATAAGAAGATCAAGAATGCGATGGCATAAAGAGATGGAGTTGAACTCTAGGAAGAAAACCCAAAAATGGGTAGTTTAGAGGGATCCATGAAAATAAAGAAAATGAAATGCTTGTAACCAGATTCAAATCAGATAGAGAAATATTGAAGATGTCAGAACAAATTGATCCTTGGTTCGATCACCCTTAAACACTTGTTTGGGCCTATTTATCATTTTTTTCATAACCGTGAGCCCTAACCTACATTACGTGCCTGAA